ATTGGAGGTAGTTTGAGGATTAAATTTTTATGCTTTTTAAGATAAAAAAAGGGGGTTAGGGTTATATTATTATACATGAGATCGTATTATACACAAATAAATATGGTAGTTACAGTTCAATAGCTCACCAATGTTAGAGACATTTGACTGTCTCATGAGGTGAGGCATCTTAGACCTCTGAAGTCCAGCCGATCTGCACTGGAGGTCATTACGAATAGGTCCGTGCAGAATCGGACTCTGGTCTTGGCCCACCGTAACAAACAGCCTTATCAGACCCTCCCCTGGGTCGGCACACACTTCTCGTTTGCAGTAATCAAAAATTATCTTTTCTTTTTTCTATTTTATAACGAATCACAAAAGATTAAAACAGACTTGTCACGTCAGCATTATCTGCAGACGAGGTTATGCTTTGAAGCTAAAATAGAGTTTTGTCTCTAAGACAGTTTTTGCCAGACAAAGTTCAGTTAGTTGTGAGACATGACCAGTGGTGGTCAAAAGGTCACGGTCGTTCATGCTACAAAGTGTAGCCCATATCAGTTGTTTCCAACAACTTCAACTACATCTTTTGCATGACAAATAGGCTACATGCATGAACAACTTTTGAACTTTGCAAATATATTTTTATTGTAATATATTTTAGATACTWTTTTCCATAGAAATTTTATAATTCCATTAAAAAGTCTAAATAAAATATGTACAAAACTAAGWGAATGATTTCAAATTTGTGATTGGTTTAGTTAAGTGAAAGTCAAACTGATCAGATTAATCRTAAGTTTGCTTTTAAAAACATTAGTACTCTCAGCTGTAGCCTCGGCTCTACAGGATGGTTGTTCCACTGGCGAGAGAACCCACAGTGGGTTTTACTTCTAACTTTAGATTAAATTACAGAGAACTTTAGGGTCCAGACGGTTCATAAGGTCTGAAAAATAGGCAAAATTATAAAAAACTTAAACAACAACAACAAATAAACATCTTTAGTCAATTAAAATTGTTTTCTATGTTGATATCATTATTATGGACATTCTCAGCAGCTACAGGTGCAGCAAGTATGAATATATTGAGTATTTTAACATTTTTGTCAGAACAGCGAAACACTGGGAAACATACGAACAGAGAAAAAAACTATTTGTTTATATAACTACCCATATTTGTGGAGATGGGTCTGGAAGACAGGCAAATTCATCTTAATGGGGATATTCTCTGATGAAAAAGTAAAAGTGCAAAACKTGTGATTCCTTTAAGAAGTGTGTGTAATGGTCTGTTTTAGTCATGATGTTTCTGCTTATCATTRAAGACTGATGTCCACAGAACATGGTTCCACTTACAAAAGGTAGATTTGTGAGGAACAGTGTTTGGTTTAGTTAATATTCTTCTAATAATCATAAAGTATGTTTTTTCATGCGTTATGTACAAAACACATGGAGTACCATGAAATCCTCGCTCCCTCCTGAAAGTTTTAGGAGCCTCAGGTTGTGAATTTCAGATCTGTGTGACTTTACCAAAGCTTTGATTCAGATTCATTTGAAAACATGTCAACAAGTGTCTAACGCTGCCACAACGGCATTTATGTCAGTTGGATTCCAGCTTCATTTCTGGTATTTTTAAATGTTGTACAGCCTTGAAATTTTATTTAATTTCCATTGTCTGAACAGTACTTTCATAGTGTTGTGTGCTTCACAGGGTATTTTGGTAACCTGGACAAAGGGCTTCAAGGCAACAGACTGTGAGGGTGAAGATGTTGTAGAGCTTCTGAGGGAAGCCATCAAGAGAAAAGAGGTAACCACAAACAAGAGAAACACCTTCTCAATTATATTAAAGTGTCTGTGACGTGCATATCCTYCAAATACAAAAAGTCAAAGTAAACGTCTTTATATTTAAGAAACTTGGCATAAAACACACGATTTTACCTATTTTGTCGCATAACTGGCATATTTTCTTTTGAGCCTGGCTTGGCCAAAATGAAACAGGAAGTGACATCAAAGGGCAGGAAGTGACATCTCTTTAAGATGGGAAAGTCTCTGGTCTTTGTTTATTAAAACAATATAATTTGAACTCTGACTCTTCATCTCTTTGATAGATTCACAAAATAATCCAAACAAACGTCAGGTTCTTCTCGACAATCTGTGTTGTTAGCCATTGTCTCTGTTTACATTCAGACCTTRCACTGTGACATCACTTCCTGTTACTTCACGTTCAAATATCTCAACAACTGTTCATCTCAGCGGTATAAAATATTATCTTTCCAAAAATGCATTCATGATTATTACAAAAGTTTGATGCCACAGGCACTTTAACTATGTTATTAATCAAACTGTCACAACAAAAAAAATGCTTTCCTTTCAAAAAGATTAATTTAAAACAAACAACCATTTTAGCCCTATAGATTTGAACATATTCTATATCACATACTGTATGTTTCTAACTGATTTTACTCTTTTAGATTGAAGAGCCAGTAAGTATTAACCCAGAGTAWCCCTATCAGACAGGTAAAACAGTCCAGGCTGGACTGCAGCAGAGTGTGGTTACTGTTGGAAAAGCATGTACTGACACCTGCAGGTGGCAGAGCTTCAACATGTTTCAACTTTTTGGAAAAGCTTTCATATTTTACTGTGTCAGAATGAGAGTGAACTGCATTGTGCTCCGTGTGTTTTTTAAGAAATAATCAGGCCTAATAATAATGCCTCTGTCAACACATTTATTCTTTGTGGTTTTACAAAGAAATGTCATCTTTACATGCAAAAATCAACGTTTTTGACATTTATATCATGTTCTGTCATTCTCCCATCAAAAACACGTCCAGAGCTGCTTTGACTCATTCATGCATGTTTGAGAAATCCTTGAATGTCCTGTGGAAGCCACTTGGAGCAACCACCATCACAAAGCTCCCGCCAAACAGACCACCCTTCCCACGAAGCATTGTTGTGAAGATATGCAGAAGTGGGAGAGTCAGATGGTTGTTCACGCTTTTATTTCTTCTCGTTTAGATTACTGCAACAGTCTTTTTACATGTCTAAACAAATCCTTCC